ATGTACTGCTGGACCTGGCTATACCATTGACCAAACTATATATCCATTTACTGTAGTGAAATTAGCTTCAAAATTAGGTCTTCAAAGGTCACACGATGCATAAGTATATACAGTAATTGTCGGATTTTAATGAAATTTTCACAACATATTCACAAATGAATGAAATTATTTTTAAAATATTTTTTATTAGAAAATACTGCTAAACATTTTTTTTTACATGTTTCAGCCCTTTACTTAATTTTATGAAAGCTTGAGAAATTCAAGATAACTTTTAGTGACTATATTAATTAAAAGCACAATTTTTGAAGAATTTAAATCACCAATTTTTTGTTGCAAAATTGGATAATTACCAATATTAATAGATTATCAAATTTAATGAGTCAAATAAAAATTGTATTATTGTTACATAATCAATGATGACATTGTATAAATTGCAATTATAAAGGATAACAATTTTGAATACAAACTATGCTGTTCTATACTATGGGCCTACTTATGGTGTAACTCAGGGTCAGAACTGGTGACCTATTTCAAAAGCTCCTCCTTACACTGGGGTCAGTGCATTTTAGTTTTGGCTTGTGGTAGAGCAAAAGAAGGCAGTATATTTTAACTGAAATATGTGTAATTTGATTTAAAAATTTAATTAAATTTTATTTTTTCTAGGCTTTCTTCTTACAAATGTTTAATTAGTCTTGCAAAATCTCTCCCAAGAAAGTTAATTTTAATAATGTTTTGTTGTTAATTTTTAACAGAGATTTTTCTTCTAAGGACATTCCACTCAAATCTGTTTTTACACTGCAAAATTTAGTTAAATATTTTTTAACTACAGTTATTCATAACAACAAGTATATTGTTGATAAAATTTAATTTTTTATGAATAACATATTTGCCAGCCTATTGGATGCACCCACGCATTGGGCGCACCTTGATTTTGGCATAGACTATTTAGGAAAAAAAATAATGCATACATCACAACCAAATATACAACTGGTACTTATATATATATATATATATATATATATATATATATATATAAGAGAGGTAATGTTTAATTACCAGGGAGGGCATTCTTTTGAAAAGAAGAATTTTAGTACATTTCATCATGCATTTATTGAATATTGTTTTAGTTGTTTTTCAGGGAGCAACATCTTCACATACAGTAAATTCATAATAGCTAGAAAGAAATCTACTGGTATCAATGAACACTGGTACATATGGTAATAGGTAAAAAAAGCCCAGAAACATGGTCCTTGGTAAACGAAGTCCTATATCATACATATAGAAAAGGAAATTCCAATACCCGTATATAAAAAAAAACCAAAAAACAAAACATACAAAGCAGGCAACAATATACCAGTCAAAGCAAATATTCCTGTAAAATCTGGTATTTCTACAAAGCAAGTAGCAACATATTGTGCAATTTCATAAATTTCTTAATTTTTTTTTTTGTCCTGGATGAATTTTTCAGGGAAATTTTTTTATTGATATTATGTTTGTTCACTTCCAGGAATCCTAATTTCAGAGCTAAGCTCTATGCATACACAGATTCCTGATGAATCCCATTTTTTCGTGGTCTTCATGTCCCTCTCAAACATGATGCAGGGTAAATCTTTGGTACAGTTTTGTTTTTAAAAAGTCTGCATCCAATAGGCCAACAAATAGGATAATTGGTATTTTTCTTTTAGTTTAGTTTACCATTAAAACTATAAAATAAAACGTAATAATTTTATGCTACAAACTATTGAAAAAGTCATTTATTAACTTTTCTCCCAAAATATCTCAATTCAAACAATTTTGAAATAAACCTTTAGTTGCACCATGAGTAGACCTGTAGTTTAGAACATCATGATAGAAACACATTTTAAAATGCTTTTGAACATTATTATTAGTAGAAACATTGTATAAATTGTTATTCTCCAACCAAACATATTAAGGCATTTATTTTTGCTAATAATTTATTTTCAATATCTGTCAATATCATTCTCCAATAAAAAATTATCAAGAATTACTGAACGTAAATATTTTATTTACTTACGATAACTTTATCAAATCTGCAATATGTTCGTCCTCATCCTTGCTTGTTTTCACTTCCATCTTTGTATTCTAAAATAGGAAACAAAAAAAAAATTGATTTTGTTTCAGATTCAAAGATTTTTCATTTTTCTAAAAGCATCTGAAAGAAAATCTGGAATTTAAGCTCTCCCCAGACCTCAAATGGAATTCATCTAACTGATCGATTGTTAAAGATGCTGGAAAAATGGTCAGTTCATTGTACCTCACCAGTAAGTATCAGACTCCTACTGCTACTAGATTGACATCTAGGTCCCACCCTTTTACTGATGAAACAATTAAATGTAACCATCTCTTCTACTCTAACAACTTCTTCTTTTGCACTTCCCAACAGTGGAACTCCCTTCCTCTTACTTGCTTCCCTGACAACTACAATCTTCAAAAATTTAAATGTAATGCCATCTTTCGAATCCTGCCAGAGAGCACATATTTTTCTCATAAGATTTCTCAGTTTGGTAGATGAAAATAAATAAATATGCTGTTTAATAAGGAGAGATGGGGAACCTTATTTTTCTTTGGACTCTCTTCATCTCTCCAATTTGTCTTCTGGTGTTTTCAAATGACTTCACTTCTCCATCTAGTTCTTTAGACATGAGAAGAAAAGTCTTTGAACATGAAAGCCTCGGCTGTGAATTGTTTGAGATGGTCCATGGGCTGCCACTCCATGCCACACCAACTTCAGCTGACACCATCCCCTGCGGCAAACCAGAGCTTGACAGTCATGTTCATGATAACAGCTTGCATTGGGCTGTCGACTTGTTCTCATACATAGAAAGTTGTCTTGACTGCCTACCCACCGGGCGTTGAATCATGCTTCAACTGGTCTATTCCCTGAATCCTTACTGCCAAGAGACGGAGCTCCTAACTGCATTGCATTCAGATCCCTTGTGACATTCAAGCTCCTCCACTGCTACACACTATATACATGTCATTTACATTACAACTACTTTTAGAAGCTCGAAAAATTAACAGTTTTTTTAATTATATAAAACGTTAGGTAAACAAAACCACTAAAATACAAGACAAATTACAAAATCTTACTTATTATAAAACGCAGATTGTGTGTGTGTGTGTGTGTGTCTGTACGTTTATATATTGGATCAGATTTCGTCCATTTTTCAACTGATTTCAACAAAACTTCACAGGACTACGTAAAATTAACTTGCAGTGGTTCTAACAGTGCCAAAAATTGGAAAAACACAATTGTTTTTGCACGAAATCAATTTGAAAACACGATAAAACATGATTCTGTCACTAGAATGAAAGGGGGACAACTCATATCGAGTTATACTTATAAAACCCAGGTTGTTTGTGTGTGTGTGTGTGTGTGTGTGTGTGTGTGTGTTCATTTATATATGGGATCGGATTTCCTACATTTTTCAACCGATTTCAACAAAACTTCACTTTTTTATGGTAGGTAGTGTTTCTTATTGTCTTGCACACTTTTTTCTTTATTTTTTACATTCAGAATACTTTAAAAATTCCATTTACAAGACAATTGTTTATAATAAAATTCTATTCAATCGATAGACTCATAACGATTGAAAACAATGTTTTTATTTGAGTTTGGGTTTGACCAATTCGTAAAAAAAAAAAAAAAAAAAAGAAAAAAAAAACTAATTAAGACATGCATGTCCGTCAACCTTAAGCAATAATCTTTGTCAATTTTATTTTTCAGTCTTTATGATGGTCAATACTTGATCTATCTCTTACTGTTACATCCCCGGGCAATGCTGGGCTCTACTGCTAGTAGTATATAATTAAACAAACATAAATATTGAAAATTTTATTCATTTTAGAAACAATATAGAAAGGGTTCTCCATCTAGTGAATCCTCCTCTCTTACCAGGTGGTAGCTCACCTGGGGCATGATGATAAACTACATCTGTGTCCTGGGTAAGACAATAAACTACGTCTGAGAGCAAGACTTCTGATCAGGAGGTTTTGAGGAGTAGGAACCACCTCTTAATTGTTGGTGCTCCCAGGTATACCCTGACCTGGGGTTGTAGCACCTGTTAGGGTCCCAGTTATGGGTAAATAGTTAACCAACAAACAGGGGGCAAAACACTATGAAAGTGTAAAAATAGGTATTAATACCAGAAATACTTTGTAAAAAAAAAATATAACCAGCAATAAAATCTTGTTGGCATTGCTCAAAGTAGAGTCCACTAGTGTTATAAAAACCTTGGAGAATTCCAGTAAGATATCTTTAATCATTTCTAAGATACAACGGTTCGAAGCTTAATCTAACAAATGGACAATTTTGCTGTCACTCCCATTATATATATCAAGAGAGAGAAAGAGAGAGAGAGAGAGTGAATGAAAATAGTTTGGTTTGTTTTACAGCCTATCAATACCTCAATGGGTTATTTGATCCCAACCACATTTCCATCGCTGGTAATATTTTTTAAAAAAATGTATTACTGGTAATTTCACTATACAAATCTATTTTTACACTTTCATATTTTGAGGGTTAATTATTTGCCCATAGCTGGGACCCTAACAGGTGCTACTACCCCAGGTCAAGGTGGACCTGGGAACAACAATAATTAAAAAGTGGTTCCATGCTCCTCAAAACTTCCTGATCAGAGGCCTTGCTGCCAGATGTAGTTTTTGAGGTCTATTAAAGATAGAGATCAAGAGATAGATAGGCAATAGTTGAGGTTTAATAAATAAGTAAAAAGGAGTGCAGAAAAGATGTCACCCTGACCTACTTTCTAAAATCTGACTAAACAACAGATATTTTAGGGGAAGGGCTATTAATTATTTAGTGCCTCCATTCGTACTCTTGGCATAAATATCTCAATGAGATGAAAGAGCATTATGTGAAAAAGCCTATGAAATCAATCTATTTGTGAGAGAGGAAAGATGACGAGTCACAGATTTACGTACATTTGTTAAATTGAAGCGAGTCGACACCCAACACCAATTCAAAAAGTCAAGGAAAAGCCAAACAAAATGTGCAAAACAGAATGCAAATCAAAAGAGAAAAGAGAAAATGAGATACAAAAGAAAAAAAAATGAAAAAATGAGGAAGAGTGAAAAAAATGAAAAAGAAAAATTAGAAAAGTAAAAATAAAAGGAAAGAAAAAGTGAAAAGCAATAAAAAGAGATAGAAAAGAAAAGCGAGAAAGAGGGGAGAAAGAGCGAAAGGGAGGGGGAAAGAGGGGAGAAAGAGCGAAAGGGGGGAAGGGAAAAGATCGAAGGGGGAGAAAGAGCGAAAGGGAGGGGGAAAGAGCCAAGGGGGAGGGGAAAGGGGGAGAAAGAGCCAAGGGGAGGGGAAAGAGGCGAAAAGAGCCGAAGGGGGGAGAAAAAGAGGCGAGAAAAGAGCCAAAGGGGGGAGAAAAGAGGCGAGAAAAGAGCCAAAGGGGGGGGGAGAAAAAGAGGCGAGAAAGAGCCAAAGGGGGGGAAAAGAGGCGAGAAAAGAGCCAAAGGGGGGGAAGAGGGAGAAAAAGAGACAAGGGGGGGGCAAGGGGGGAGAAAGAGCCAAAGGGGGATTGGGGGGGTGAAGAGCCAAAGCGGGGAAAAGCGAAAGTGGGGAGAGCAAGAAAGCGTAAAGGGGAAGAAAGATCGAGAAATGAATGTGTGAAAGAAAAAAGAAAACGATAAGAATGTTTGTCGTATTGTCCACCCCGCCTTTCTTTTTCATATTTATTCATTTATTTAAAAGGTATCAATGCATATCAACAACTGGACCTTAAAACCACACTGTCTTTTTCTTTTTCTCCAATACTATAAATTTAAAAACAACTTCAACATTTGCTGACACACCTGAGAATTTGTAGACCATTTTTTTCCGTGAAGGTCTATATACACATTACACATTCGTTCATAAGTCAGGAATTTCGTTTGTTTGACTGAACTACATACAAATTTAGTTTCACAAGTAAAATGTGCCGATATTTTGAAGTTCTCCAATCAGCAGTCCAAGCGTAAAAATGAGCACGATATTGCATCCATCAATTCACACAAAATAAACATTAGTTTTAAAAATAAAAACACACACGCACAGATTGTTAAGAATGTTCTGCGGGATATCAGTCAGTAAATAAAAGCTCGGATGGTTTTATGGCTGATATAAATTCAATCCCTGAATCAAGCGGTACAGAATTTTGAAGGAAGAATTTACAAGTCCTAGAAATTAATTTGGAGGAATACCAAAAATAAATAAATAAATGGCAGGTAAGAATGACGAATTCTCGAAGTTAAAAGAATGGAATCTGTTTGACATTCATAAAAGAATCCCTAACGCGACCGGCGACCGTGAAAGAGTAAGATATGAGTTTTACGATGACTAAAGAATTGTCGAAGACACAACAAATAAAAAACAAACTAGATCTATTCAAGAAGGATGTTAGAATGACTAGAACTTATCCAGGGAGGAAACCGCCTGCATGCGGATAGAAAATGAATTGACTAGATACACTAAAATAGAAAGGGGGGCGTAAGACAAGGATGTGTCGTCTCACCGGATTCGTCCAACTATAACAGAGGGGCTACCCGAAAGGAGCTGGAGACCGTATCAGGATTTATTATCGGTGGTCGTAATCTTAACAATATAAGGTACACAGATGAGACTAAACTGGTGGCTGACACAGAAAGAAAAATATAAGATCTCCTAGACAGGGTAGTAAAGGAAAGCAAGAAAAAAAAAAAAATGGACTAACCTTCAACTGCAAATTCTATTTTTTTTTCATCATCCTGGAAATAAATGTAAAAATTTCATAGTCTAAAACAACTTGCCCCACGAGTGATAATATATGATGATGATATTTCATCATTCTAAAATATGATTATAAAAATGACCCTTCCATCACAGGCGAGGGCGGTCAGGACAGTAGGATCAGTAGAGTAGCAAAAAAGAACACAACACATCGTATCGCCATCGCTCCGGAAAATTTAAAGTTGACGATCTCAAACGCTATCCTTAACAACGAAATTCTCGGAACAAGCAAAAACAAGTAAGCACAAACTTTTAAAGAAACAGAACACCGAGAACATTTTTATCACACACTATACGAGTATCTGTAATTCACACCACGAAAAAGAGAAATACACATTCTTTTTTTTATTAATGTCAACACGTGTTTCAAGTTTTTTATTGTTATTGTTGTACGTTTTCAGTATAAAAAAAAGTAAAAAAAAGTAAAAAGAATTCTTTTATCAACAACAAATACATATAACAGGTTAACTTACACATATCCAACATCCGACCCCGTTGCAGTTTTATAATTTTTGTTTAAGAAGATAACTCCCCCACCCTTACAATTCAGGGGTAGAAGTTATCTTCTTGGTTTTATATTAATCATTATTGTTTATCTTATTTATTTTCATATGTATTTTATTTTTTCATTCTTCTTTTTTTTTTTTGTTTAATTTTTTTTTCTTACTTTTTGTATTGAAGTTTCCAGATTTTTTTTTTTCTAATTTTTTAAAATCTTTTTTTCTTTAAAAAAAAATTTTAAGTTTTTTTTTCCCCAAATAATTTTTTGGGGCGAAAATGAGCCCAGCCTCTTTCTGGCAGATTCTAAAATGGCGACTGTAAATAAAAAAAAAGAAGAAGGAAAGTTGACTGTGAGGGTTACCGCTTCTAGGGCAGGTGGAAATTAGAGTATTTTTTTCTATTGAAATACGAAATAACTGTATTTGCCTAATTTGCCAAGAGAACGTGGCTATTTATAAAGAATTTAATGTCAAAAGACACGACCAGTCGAAACATGCTACCGTATACGACAAGCTAACAGGGAATGATCGCGGCGAAGAAAATGAAGCAATTAGAAGCTGTTTTAATATCACAACGGTGTTTTTTTTACAAGAACCTGTGAATCAAATGAAAATGCCACAAAGATAGGGTACGATGTGGCGACACTAATTACTAAATACTGAAAACCTTTTTTTGAAGGTGAATCTATCAACTACTGTGTTATGAAAATGGTGGATAATATCTTTCCCGAGAAGAAGCAACTGTTTATCAATGTTTGCCTGGCTCGTAACACTGTTGCGCTGAGATTTGAAAATATATATCATCAAATACTGAGAGACACTTGGCGGCCACAGGAGTGAATTTTGACTTTTTCGTTTGCCTGCGATGAATTAGTTGCTGATTTCTTGAAGGGTGTAAACGATGAAATGAACGTGACTGAAGAGCTACTTGATCCATAGAGCCTTAAAGACCGAATATGAGGAATGGATTTTCCGTAATTCCCTATGTATAATACGCATTTTTTTCTTAAAAAAATAACAAGCAAAATTAAGGGTGCGTATTATGCACAACTACAAAAAATCTTTAAAAAATTGTCGTTTCATAGGTCGATTTCAGTTGCGAAATGACTACTCACCACAAACATACGACACTTTGCCACCCCATAAGGATGTCAAATACAATCATATCTGCCTAACAATACTTACAAATGTAAAATAAAATAAGAATTATCATAAAACTAAATTTGAATAATATTATTCTATGTTTAAAACCATTTTTTCTAATAAGAGTAGGAGACGCTGGACGTAATGAAATTGGAGAGGTACAATTTATAGAGTTTGATTACCAAACAAAGAGTGCGTATTATGCGTGAGTAGAAACATTTTCCTACACTTTCAGCACAATTTTAGGGGTGCGTATTATGGATGAAGGCGTATTATACATGGGGAATTACGGTAGTTCTGCCGTGGATGACATGAAACTACCACGGAATAAAACTCCATTGTATTATTCACAATCAAGATCTCTGCGCTAAACCTCTCCAATATGATTATGCTATGAAACCGATGATCAGGATTATTAATTTTATTTGCTCTAAAGCCTCGTGTCACCACTAGTTTCTACTTGACGTCCAGGCTGAATACGGAGATGTTGTATATCATAACGATGTGAGATGGCCGAGTTGGGGGTCTGCACCAGCACTTCTACTCTTCTCTTAGGAAAGTAATTGGACAATTTTTGACAGAGAAGAGACAACAGATACCAAAACTATCTGATCCTGTTTGTCTGACTGAGAGTCTTTTGTTGACAAAATATCTGAACGCACTGAACATGAGTGCTTAGGGGCAAGATGCAGCAGTGAATCCATTGTATTCACATATTAAGGCCTTCAGAACCAACTGCACATTGCCCGGTCCTGCAGGAAATAATGACCAGTTTTCCACAGGACAATATCAGTGCGCAAATAAGGAGGTAGGCAGCCGACATCATATCTCTGGCTGAAGAGTTTAAACAACGCTTTCAGGATTTTGCAGTTATTGAAAAAGAGATCATGTTCCCCTCTCGCTTCTCCTTTGACCCAGATGATGCTCTGGATCAGCTACAGCTAGAGCTCATTGAGTAGCAGTGTGACAACAAGTGGTACAGTTGACGCCAGCAACTCTTTCCTTTGACCCGCCAACTGGATAAAGGCAGGTTTCAAGAAATTCGAGCATTTGCTAAGAAAACGACTGAGATTGGCTTCACATATTTGTGCGAGAAGTTGTAGAGGTCACTTAGTTGGTGTGACCTCTCGAATTTCTATTTACGCAAAATACCACAAAATATGAAACAAGAAGGAACACAAAACGGTTTTTATAATAAACAATATTCATATTTATGTATATCAATGATATACAAGCATAATTAATAGGAGTTACTTCCCTTTGACTGGAATTAATGTCTTTACTAAGGAAATATTTTTATCTGAGCCCATAGAAAGTTGAATGAACTTGCAGCTCAAAATTTTCACCTTAACAGAGTTGAAAGAATTCTATAAAGCTGAAAATATGTTAATAAACATTGAGCTTCAGAAGAGTTGAAGGAGTGACTATTCTGCAATGTTTAATTAGTTACCGTTGATTGTAGTTGAATACTCATAATATATTCATGCTTTTAATGTTCTGTAATGTTCGTAATTAAGTTTCCATACGTACGTGCATGTGTGATGTTTTCATAGTGTTCGTTCGTAAGGGGTCGAAACGCGAGTTCTTTAGTTGCTACATCTTGTATGTCAGAGAAGGCAAGAGAGGCCAAAAGAGAAAGAACGAACTTGTTTCAAAGTATTTATAATAAACGTAATCACGTGATAGGCTCCAGAGTGCATCTCTGATTTTTGGCGGAAAAATGGTTTTGAATAACGCGTCAGCGTTATACGGACGTAGGCGAGAACATGATTTTAATATTAACTGATCAATGAGAAGTGAGAAAAATATCAAGGCTCTGTGATCCACATTTTGCACAGATTTGCACAAAAATTGACATTGAAAGGAAAGTGGTAGCAGGATGCTAAAAAGTCATTCTCTGTTATGAACTTTAACAAGGACCGCGTGAGGACAAGACTAAGTGACTCTAAACTGCGTGACATTTTGCGCATCAAAACCACTGCCTTTGAACCAAACCTGGCCTACATACTGCATTTCTGATCTCAGTATCACCCTTCACATTGTGGCAAGCATGTTATTTGTTTTGGTCATCCGAGATGAATAAATGCTAAAATCTTAGTGAATTAAATTTGTTTTTATGTTGGTCAAAATCGGTTACAAATATATTTGGATACTTGGACATATGTTCTTGCGATAATGCTGGTGTTTTGTAGGGAGAAAGAATATCATGCCTTGCTCACCAATCTATTACGCGTGACAAAACAATGAATATAAAAGAAAGAAAAACATAACTAGAGAATGTATTTGTGTCTAT